AGAGGGAGGAAGAGTGGGATACTGACCTTGAAATAGAAGGTACAAAATATCCCAACTGCCCTGGTTTGCACAGTGGTAGGAATCTCTTCCAGCACGACACAGGTTGGATCTGGCACAATTTGTCCTGTATCCGTAGAACAGTATCAAAATGGGCTGTGAACATACAATTTTCCCTGATCTTCTCTAGGTGAAGAGTGAATGTACTCTTAATTCTTTTTTCTTTCTCTTTACAAAACAAAGCAAAACCAAAAATAAACAACCAGGGCCAGCTCTAACTTTTTTGCCGCCCCAGGCAAAAACGAACCGCCCCGCCCCCGCCCGAAGCCCCCCCCCCCCCAAGCACCACGCCACCTGAAGCCCCCGCCCCCCCTCCGAGCTCCGCGCCGCTGAATACAAAATAAATAAATAAAAAATAAAAAATCGAGCGCTGCCCTGCCCCAAGGTGCCGCCCCAAGCATGTGCTTGGTCGGCTGGTGCCTGGAGCCGGCCCTGTAAACAACACCCCTAGGCAGGGCCGTCCTTAGGCATACGCAGCATATGCAGTTGCATAGGGCACCATGAAATTTGGGGCACCAAATTGCCCCAAATTTCATGGTGCCCTAGGCAGCTGTGTGCTGCATACGTGGCAGCACCAGCCCCGGTGACCTGCCCTATCCCTCCCTCCGCGGACCGCGCCCATTGCAAGGGGCAGGGCTGTCCCTAGGGGGTATGGGGCCCTGGACAATTCCCTCTGCCCTGCCTCTTACCCTTCCCCCTGCTCTGCCCCTGGCCGGCCCCCATTCCACCTCTTCCCCCAGCGACCCCACACTCACTGGCAGCGGCGGGAAGCGGAGCAACGTGGCCCTAGCCCGCTCTACTCTGCCAGCTCCCAGCCATGGCGCTCTGCTTCCCGCTGCCGGTGAGTGCAGGGAGGTTGGGGAAAGGATGCCCCCGCACTCACTTGTGGCGGAAGCGGAGCGATGCGGCCCCAGCCTGCTCCGCTTACCTTGCCCCGGCCCCAGCCGTGTCGCTGGGGGAGGGTTGGGGAAAGGTCCCCCCGCCCTCACCGGCGGCGGGAAGCTGGCGGAGTGGAGCAGGCTGGGGCCGTGCTGCTCCATTTCTGCTGGTGAGGGCGGGGGGGGATCCCTTCCCCCTCCCCTGAGCGACACGGCTGGGGCCGGGGCGAGGGAAGTGGAGCGGGCTGCTCCTGGCCCCCCGCTAATCCCCTGGGACTGCGGAGGCCCCCAAAAGTGCCCCCCCACAGCTCCTGCCTCCTAGACCCTGGGGGAGCTGGGGCTGCATAGGACACCCAAATGGCTAGGGACCGCCCCGCCCCTAGGAAACTCTATGCAAACAGTTTGTGATCTCATTCCCTGACTAAAAAGTTGGGAGATGGAAAAGTTATGGTAAAGTACATATGCTCCCTTGTTCATTATGTTAAAGTTCTTAATTACCCATTATACATTATTATTATTTTTGCAGATCTAAAGCCACCTCATTCATTGTGTGAGTTATATGGTGAGTCCAGAATGAGAGAGGGCTTCAATCTTTAGTTTTATATAACTTACTGAAATAAAAGTGAAGAAGAGGTCTGCACACAGAACACTTGCGTTTAATCTAATTTAACATTTAAATTAAACATTTACCTTAAATATTGCGTAAATTTTTACAACTTTATTTATATAATTTCTATTACACTGCTTTTATCCGTATCACTCGGAGAGCTCACCAAGCAGAATGCAGCTTGTGGACTGAGGGCTTGATCCAAAACCAATTTGAAATCAATGGCAAGACTCCCATTGACGTCAGTCATTTTTTTTTTTTTTTTTTTTTTTGCATCAAGCCTCTAATGAGCAGGGATCGTGTAAGTAATTGTGTGTGATCATGTAATTAAAAACTGTATCAGGATGCCTACATAACAACAAGCAGGATCAAGTACGTGTGGACAACTCTGCTTTCCTGAGTCTTGCCTCACTCTGTTAACTTTGAGTGCGTGGAGGCTCTGGGGAAGGTGCTGCCAGGGCCGGCACCAGCTCAGCAAGCGGTGCTTGGGGCGGCCAAGTCGAAGGGGCGGCACGTCGGGCTCTTTGGCAGCAATTTGGTGGCAGGTCCCTCGGAGGGAAGGACCTGCCGCCGAAGAAGAAAGCGGCGTGGTGGAGCTGCCGCTGAAGTGCCGTCCATCGCAATTGCGGCTTTTTTTTTTTTTTTTCGCCGCTTGGCGCGGCAAAAACCCTGGAGCCGGCCCTGGGTGCTGCAAAGAAATAGAAGTTCTTTAATTTCCATTTTTGGGTAAAATTGTTAATTTGGAAGTGCTGTTTTTTGTTTGTACAGCTTGTTTTCTCTGTGTCCGTTGTGCTGTTTCTAATGTAGAAACCAAGGAACCTTTTGACCCAACTGGAAAGACCAGATATATAGCAGCCTGCCAACTATATGGAGTGGTACCCATATCCTATTTCCTGCGTCACATGAAGGACACTGAACTGATTATGAAGCACCATGGACTTGGCCCACAGGTAACAGTTACAGAAAATAGAATACATCACTTTTCGCTTTGGCACAATTAAGGCTGCGATGTGTGCTCTGAATTTATATGGTGGTTGTGCCAGTGGCTAGGGGTGTGTCTCTGGGTGGGGGAATAATGTACTAATTAAACTAATATTAGCTTTTCACTTTCTTGGTTTTGTGGTGTATATTATGTGTAGACTAGCATTAAATATATCATGTTTGGGAATGAACAAAATAAAACTTGATCTATTGAAAGTTATTGGACAGGCCAGAACAAGGGGACTTAATTTAAACCTAAGGAGGAATAATACATTTAAGAATTTCAGCAATTGCTGCTTTATAAAGAATGGCTAGTAGGGGAAGTGGGCTTTCAGCTAAGCGGGAGAGGGAGTGCAGTGAAACAATATAAATGTATTTAAGCAAAATGAGATGCCACGTGAAATTTAGCACATTTTAAGGGGAATTTGTCAGCTTTGTCATCTTCACAGCACCTGCTGTCCTTTCGGTGGGACGGTGGATTAGATTTCTCCACACCTCACCCCACAAGAATGTCCAGGGCTTTGTGATAAGATTTTTATCCTCCCTGGATGTACAAAGTTTTTTTGTTTATATAATATGCGTGTGTGGCTATATGTTACATGGTTAAAATTCATAGGTTTAAACAACATTCGAAAACTTTTTAAAGAAGTTCTATATGTAGGTTAGTGTCACAGTCCTATCCACGATGGGCTTGTAGTTGCTTCTGGTTTTACACAACTTACTTTGCAGGAACTTTTGGCTCATATGCATGACTCATGCCGTAAAATGCAACAAGCCTTAATACTCCCCTGTGATGGTAATAAACATGGTAGAATTAGGGAAATTAGAACTGGAGTAGACTTATTAGATCCCTTCATCCTCTGATTCCTTACACTGTATTTAGGGTTCGAGAGTGTAGATTTTTTTATTTAATTTCATGGATAATGTCAGTGCATTTACTTCCAAATTTAAAATATGTTAATCAAGTTAAGACATTTATTCCAAACGTAATGGCTCTAGATCAGGGGTGGCCAACCTGTGGCTCCGGAGCCACATGCGGCTCTTCAGAAGTTAATATGCGGCTCCTTGTATAGGCACCGACTCCGGGGCTGGAGCTACAGGCGCCAACTTTCCAATGTGCCGGGGGTGCTCGCTGCTCAACCCCCTGCTCTGCCCCAGGCCCTGCCCCCACTCCACCCCTTCACCCAAAGCCCCCGCCCCTTCCCCTGAACGTGCTGTGCCCTCCCTCCTTCCCCCTACCCCGCAGAGCCTCCTCCGCATGCAAAACAGCTGATCATGGCAGGTGGGAGGCATGGGGGGGAAGGGGGAGGCACTGGGGGCTGGAGGGGGGGAGCTGATGGGGGGGGTGCTGCTGACATATTACTGTGTCTCTTCGGCAATGTACATTGGTAAATTCTGGCTCCTCCTCAGGCTCAGGTTGGCCACCCCTGCTCTAGATCCTAGGAGGAATAATAGAAATAAACTCCTAAGTGGTACTTATCCTAGTATTAGTTACTGATTGCTTGATAGAACTGACAATGAGTGAAGGCACCAGGTGTCCTCGAGTTGAACAAATCTGACATGTTTAACTTTCCCTCTCTCTACATTATGAATATTGGTGGTAAACTTTTTTTATTATTTGTAGGTGGATGGAGAAATAATTAATGACACTTACCAACTCAGATTGCATCCTTTGAACTCTAACTATATTCTGCATTGCTTTTTCCAGTCTAGTTTAAAATCACTCACACAAGGGGGCTTTTACTACTTTCCTTAAGAGACAGTGGGTTAGATCCTGCATCCATTGAAGTTGTTGAGAATTTTGCCATTGACTTCACTGGTAGCAGGATGGGACTTGGTGGTGGTGCTCTATTGAACGCAGCTGGAGCCCTCTACTGCACGTAGAGGTCCCTTTCGTTCAGTTGTGTTCTTCAGCAATGCAGCCAGGGCCTGGAAAGCTTTTGTCAATCAATATATTCTTGATAGGTTAAGGAAAACTGAAATAAGCAAACCACTAAAAGTGCTCATTGTACCGAATAGACCTGTGAGTGACCCATTATGCTGTCATATGTTCCAGGGTGCCAAAGCTTTATCTCTTTCCTTGATGACCAACACCTCCATCGTAAAGTTAAACCTGAGTGATAATTGGCTGAATGGAGACGGGGCAGCTGCAGTTGCAGAGATGTTAAAGGAAAACTGTTACATTTCAGGTTTGTGTCTTAATTCAAAGGTAATTCTGTTGTAAGGCATGTATCAGAGTGTGGCAATAAGGTTTTATGAGAGGAGGAAGTTCTTGTTTGCATATTTGGCTGATCCCACTGACTTCAGTGTCACTGCTCACATGAGAGAGGGCTACAGAATTGGGCCCTACTTTGAAAAGTGACTACTTAAAATAGTGCCTTCTTATTCAGCTCTCCCTGTGTGTATTCATAGCTTTTACTTTCATGAATTCATGTCTTTACTCCTGTTATCTCTGCAAAGCCAATAGCGTTCTGGGAGAGGGAGCTGAATTCTCTTCTGGCTCATGAATCAGTAATGGAACTGGAATTTGGGAGAACAGTTGCAGAATATTGTTGAAGATGCATAAGGCAGAAAAAACCCATCTTAACTTTCAGATTCCAGGTGGAGTTTGCTAGACTGGCAGTTAGAACAACCATCTTCTAATTAGGGGCAAGCGGCGCTAAGCCCCATCCAAGGTGCCCCAGCCGATATCTGTGCTGTAAGGACTGGGCTAGAGTGACAAAGTGGACTTTGCTCAGCTTTGCAACACCTAATTTTAGGTGCCCTGCCACCCATTGGAATCCACATTCCTGAGTTAGGTGCACCGTCTCTCCAGACAATGCATGGAGCCACAGAAGCTAGCAAACTGAGTGGGCAGCTGCCGAAGCTGGCCAGTAAAAAGTGGCTTAAGTATGTGGTGATGGTGTTCCCTGTATACCCAGTAGCCTGAGCACTCACCTCCGAAGTGGAAGAGCTCGGTTCAAATCCCAAGGCTGCCTGATCTGGAACAGGGACTTGAACCTAGGTCTCCTACCTCGGATATCTGAGATCTCGGATGGGTGAGGTTCCAGGAAGCTGGAGTAGCACTAGCCCCAACAGATGGATTCTGAGGTGTGAATGGCAGAGCAGGTGAGGGAAGAGTGTCTCCCCTTTTCTATGCACCCCATTGACCCCCACCCCCAGTTTATCACTTTGACAACCCAGTAGTTGGGAAAGTAGGAAGCAGTGGAGGCAGGCAAGGAGCATGGGCTGGACACTGGTGTCTGCAGCTTACTTGGGGCACAAGCTGCCGTAGTTTTACTTGTAAACTAAGTACATTTGCTCTGGGAGCTATTGAGACACACACACACGAAATCCTCCAGGCCATTTTTACAGTCCCTTTGCAGAACTGCATTTTAATATATAAATATTGATATCTGTTGAGACAGTCATCAGAATTTACTGACTCAAGAACTTGAACCCTTGATTAATATTTACCTTGAAATACAATAGATCTTGGTGTCCTCTAAAACCTGATTTCAGTGTATGTATTGTTACATAATTGGATTATTTGCTATAAAAGAAACTGTTGATTAAATAAATCTCTTAAGCGTACAAGTGACAAGGTGGGGGAGGTAATATCTTTTATTGCACCAATTTCTGTTGGTGAGAGAGACAAGCTTTCTAGCTTATGCAGAGCTCTTCTTGAGGTACAGTAACAGTGCTTCTTAAAAACTAACATTTTAAATAGGAGATGCTTAGATTTTAGGGGCAGAAAGGGCAGTTTTAAGATTGTCTAGTCTCACCTCCGGCAGTACAGACCATAGAAACTCATCCAGTAACTTCTGCATCAAGCCCATAACTTCTGTTTCAGCTATAGCATCATTTAGGAAGTTATCTAGTCTTGATTTAAAGAATTAACCTGATGGAGAATTCACCACATCCCTAGTAAGTTGTTCCAATGATAAATTACTCTCACTTTTAACAGTTTGCACCTTATCTGTAGTCCTTATTTGTCTAGCTTCATCTTCCAGCTAATGGTCTTTAATCTAGCAGAAAAAGGCCGAATGAGATCCATCTGCTCTCAGAAATCTCTTCCCTAGGTAGGTATTTGTAGACCATGATCAAGTCACCTCTTTCTTGCATAAACTAAATAGATTGAGGTTTTAAAATCTCTCCCTATAAGGCAGGTTTTCCAGTCCACTCATGATTTTATAGACCTCTATCATATCCCCCCTTAGTCGCCTCTTTTCCAAGCTGAAAAGTCCTAGTCTTATTAATCTCTCCTCATACGGAAGCCGTTCTATACCCCAAAGCATTTTTGTTGCCCTTTTCTGAACCTTTTCCAATTCCAATACATCTTTCTTGAGATGGGGCGACCACATCAGCACCCAGTATTCGAGATGTGGGCATACCATGGATTTATATAGAGGCAATATGATATTTTCTGTCTTATTATCTATCCCTTTCTTGATGATTCCCAACATTCTGTTTGCTTTTTTGACGGCCGCTGCACTTTCAGTGGATGATTTCAGAGAACTATCCACAGTGACTCCAAGATCTTTCTTGAGTGGTAACAGCTAATTTAGACCCCATCATTGTATATGTATAGTTAGGATTATGTTTTCCAATCTGCATTACTTTGCATAACTTCTTGTAGCTCTTTTCTGAACTCTTTCCAATTTTTCAAAATCCTTTTGAAAATGTGGACTCCAGAATTGGATGCAGTAGTCCAGTAATGTTTTCACTAACGTTGGATACAGAGGTAATAACACCTCCTTGTTCCTTTTTGATATTCCCCTGCATGTACCCCCAAAGATTGCATTCACCCTCTTAGCTACTGCATTGCACTGGGAGCTCATGTTCAATTGGTTATCTATCATCTAAGTCCTTTCCAGTGTTCTTGCTTTCCAAGCTACAGTCCCCCATCTTGCAAGCATAGCCTCTGTTCTTTGTTCCTAGATGTATGGCTTTGCATTTGGCGATATTCATGCATTCAAACGAGACTGCCTTCCTGAACAATCCAGATCACTCTGTAGAACTGATCTGTCCCCATCATTATTTACAATTCCAAGTAGCCTGTGATTAACCAGCTCATCTTGTTTACCCTTTTTAAGCAGTGGCACTACACTGGCTTTTTTCCAGTCTTTCAGAGCTTCCCCAATGTGCCAGGGCTCAAATTAAAACAGGGAAATATTTTCAAACCCAGAGGAGCCCCAGCGCCGCCACCGCCCGCCCTGCAGCTGAAGCCCCAAATTGGGTGTGGGGGGAGAGAGGGGCTCCAGGAAATAATCTCTGAGAATTTAAGCCCTGGTGCCGAGGTTTGTTAAAAATCAACATTTATGATTCAGAGAGCTCCTTGGAAAAGTCTTTTGATATTCTTGGATGGAAATTATCCAGTGAAGTGAATGTGTTAAATAAATAGTGTTAATATTTATTTTACTGTTGCATTTGTAGTGTGTTGGTTTTTTAGTTGATGAGAGCTGTCCCTTTAAGAGCAGGCTGTGGCACGCTGTGTGGGACAGTGCCCATGCGGAAGATTTTGCATGTGTGTGCAGAGAGGAGGTGAGCCACAAAATGGCCAGAACTTGGTTTAATAAACCTGTCTTTCCAGAAAGAGTCTCATTCCCCAAGATGTCCCATTAGTGCTAATGGGGTCTGGATGCTGTGGGTGTTGGTAATGATCTACACCAGTGTTTCTCAAACTGGGGCCACCGCTTGTGTAGGGAAAGCCCCTGGCAGGCCGGGCCAGTTTGTTTACCTGCCCCGTCCGCAGGTCTGGCCGATCACAGCTCCCAGTGGCCGCGGTTTGCCGCTGCAGGCCAATGGGAGCTGCTGGAAGCAGCGGTCAGTACGTCCCTCAGCCCGCGCCGCTTCCCGCAGCCCCCATTGCCCCGGAGCAGCGAACCGTGGCCAGTGGGAGGAGCCGTGATCGGCCGGACCTGTGGACGGGGCAGGTAAACAAACTGGCCCGGCCTGCCAGGGGCTTTCCCTACACAAGCGGCGACCCCAGTTTGAGAAACACTGATCTACACAGTCTTTCCTCTGCAGGGCAGCAGTGTGAATCCTGCCCAGCTCAGCAGAGGTTAGAAGGTTCTTCCCATCTAATGGCTGGTTGAAAGCCCCTAGATGAGATGAGTGTGGTGGGTCCCGGCTCTAGCTGCCATAGCACAAATTCACCAATGAGCTTTGCACTAGACTGTAAGAGCTTGGGGGGCAGGAACTGTCTTTCCCTATGTGTTTGTGGACCACCAGGCACAATGGGGCCCTGATCTCCATGGGGTATAGTCAGAGCTCCATCAGCTGGGTCAAAATTGCCTTATTCACTCTACATTTGGGAGAGTTGACAACAGGGTAATTGTCACACACACACACTAGAGGTGGGCAGGGGGAGTTAAAAACTCAGAAGTCAGAGCAAAAGCCACTATTTCAGCTTTTCTTAAAAAAGTAAAAATTTCATAATTTTGGAACATTGAGGATTGGCAATACTGCTGTAAGAGTTTTCCATTGCAGCGGACGGCTGGAGGTTTTTCTGACATCTCCCCTTTAGCTAAATGGTGATTTTGTTCTTGGTTTTTTCCCCCCTCCCCCAGATGTTGATTTATCTGACAACAGACTTGGAGTTAAAGGAGCCGAGGCCCTTTCTGGTATGCTTCTGGAGAATACGACAGTTGTTACCCTTAAACTTTCAGGAAATGAGTTCAATGACCATGCAGCTAAGTACCTAGCCGATGCCCTCCCGGCTAACAATAAACTGGAATCTCTGGCTCTGAGTCACAACATGCTTGCTGACACATCAGGTAAAGCAGTGTCTTCGTAGACCCACGCGTTGTATAGTGTTATCCTGCTGCAAATTCACACTCCAAGTGGTGAAAACCAAATTTCTCTCTTCTCCCAAAACCTCCTGGCTTCCTCCCACTTTTGTAACCACCTAAAGCTCCACCGTCCTCCTCTACCACCCAGGCTCATAACCTCTGGAATCCTTGCTCATTAAACATTCACCTCTTCCTCTAAAAATCCACCCTTTTCTCTCTATCCACCATTAATCTTGTCTTTCTACACCCTGGTCATCTCTTGTCTGCCACCTTTTGAGATCTTCCATGTTTCATTATGTCCCCCACAGAGAATGGATCAGCCAAAAATATCTCCTCCTCTTGCCACTCAGAGCACGTCACTCCCTTCTTTGAATTCCTTCACTTGGCATCATCTCAGTTTCTGCACTAAGTTCATGTTTCTTGCTATTCACCTTCAAAGGCCTGAAAAAGCTCCACCTGCCTCCATCTCTGCTGTCATTGTCTCCTGCTCTCTCCAGACCTAACCATCTTTTCTCTGTCCAACTCTAAGTTTTCTCTTTATGCTGGGATTCCCTCCCTCTCCTCATGCGCTGAATGGCCTTCCTCCCATCATTCAAATCCCTCCTTTCAAATAACTTCTCCCAGGAGGCCTTTTGCTGTGAACAGAGTGAAGAACTGGGAGAAGAGAAGAGCAGAAAAAATTGGGAAGAACAGAAAACCCAGGGGAAGGAGGACAGAGTCTGTTTAGAGATAGAAGAAGAGGAAGAAATAAGGACGAAGAGCAGAGAAAAGAAAAGCAAATAGAATAAAAAGGCCGCTGCTTCTGGTGAAATAAGGAATGAAATTAGGTGATCTGTCTGGGACTGCAGGCATTGGGCAAATACTGATTCATCTTTCCTGCCCTTTAATGTGTCTTCATTTTTAGTTCTGGAAAGGGGAGGAGGGGATGTCAAGGGATGGGAGTGATTATCCTGTCTTCCCTGACCCTCCATGGTGGTCAAAACTGCCTGGCTTGAACCTCTTATTACCGCTTACCACAGCCCCCCCCCCCCAGATCAGTCAGGTTGTGGAAGGCAAAAGGGGGGGCTGTAAAAGAGATGGTTGCGCTGAAGAGAGACGCAGGATGAAAGGTGGGATAGATCAAGACAGGGAAAATGGAAGACGTGAGTGGGAGTGAAAGAGGAAGAGGGAACCAGAGAGAGTTCATTTCTGAGAGGGGAAAGTGTTGGCAAAGCAGGAAGGAGAGATGAACCATGATGCCATCTTAAGCATGGATATGTGGCTGCATTACCTACTTCTATCTGTCTCATGACCTTTGACCTCTCTCTAGAGTATTAACTCACTCCACGAGATCCTTCTCTACTTCAGTAGCCTTTCTTAAGATCATTCCCATTGCAGAAATATGTAGAGCCAGGACTTGGACATCCATTCATACATCTGCTGAACACTATGCAGTCACTCATGCCTCCACTTCTGATGCCATATTTGGCTCCACTGTTCTAGCTTCAATCTTAGACTCGACTCCAAAGCCCCCTCCTTCCATAGACGGAACTGCTCAATAATCATCTAGAGTGGAGCACCTATAGGGATGCTACTCGAAGACGAGACGGTTACTCACCCTGTGCAGTAACTCTGTTTTTTCAATGTGTGTTTTTGTGGGGGATGGTGCAGAAGTGGGTGTTAAATGGGATTTGACTGGGCTTGGAGACTCGGTTTTGGAAGGATATTCAGGCAAAGGGGCAGCCTGGAAGAAGGCAAGGAGAAGTTGTGGAGGGAAAGTGAGGGGTATTAAAGCTGGTGGTATTTGTGGAAAGGGTGCAAAAGGAATACGAAAGGAGACCAGGTCTGGGATGTAGACTGGGCAGTGTGATGTAGGGCTTGAGATTAAGGGCAAGACATTTGAATAGAATTTAATGGGCAAGGGAAGAATGTCCATTGACTTTCAAATCCTTTGCCACCTATAGCCCCCCACTGAAATCTGTGGGAATCCCCTCCCGTCTCTTAGAGCCCTGAGGGGCAAGAGAGTCTTTCTAAGACTGGAGGAGGTTTTGGATTTTTTTTCTCCTTACTTTGATTCCTTCCTTCCAATCCTACCCATCTCCCTCCCTTCCTCCTTCTTTCAGGGTCACCCGTTTGTTCCTGGCTCTGTCTCTACTGATTTCTCAGTGGTGAGCTCTGCTTCTCCTTTGGTTTTCCTGTAGGGTTACCATACGTCCGGTTTTTCCCGGACATGTCCAGCTTTTTGGTAATCAAACCCCCGTCCGGGGGGAACTGCCAAAAAGCCGAACATGTCCGGGAAAATACTCCGAGCTTCCGGCATCCCTGGCTTACCTTAGAGCGGGCTCCGGCGGCTGCTGTGCTCCCTGACTCCTCGGCTCTGTAAGAGCCGAGCTGCCCGAGTGCTACTGGCTTCGGGCAGCCCCCATACCTCCGGACCCTGCGCCGCCGGCCGGGCACTTCCACTCCGGGGGCGCAGGGTCCGGAGGCATGGGGGCTGCCTGAAGCCAGTAGCGCTCGAGCAGCTGTTTCATGGCTGGGAGGGAGGAGGGGGAATGCGGGCGCTCAGGGGAGGGGGCAGAGTTGGGGCAGGGAAGGGGTGGAGTTGGGGTGGGAGCGGTAGGGGAAGGGGCGGAGTTGGGGCGGGGGTGGGAGCGGTAGGGGAAGGGGCGGAGTTGGGGCGGGGGTGGGGCCAGGGCCCCATGGAGTGTCCTCTTTTTTTAATTTTTAAATATGGTAACCCTATTTTCCTGCAGGCTGATGCTGTGTCCCTTTCCCATCCTCTCTGCGAGCCATTCCGCACTCTCTTCCTCTTTTTCCCTCCTGGTTTGTTGCTTTATCCCCCCAGTTGATTCTGATGTCGTCGTCTTCCTCCCAGAAACCTCCTCCCCTCCTTATCTGTTTCAATCCCACTGAGCCTTCTTCACAGAGGAAACCTCTCAACGGTTGTAGTCTCACTTGAGAGTGGCACCAGGGAGCACAGGGTTGAGGAGCAGAGTGGAACTATTTTGTGTGGTGTAGGCACTACTGGTCCTGGACTTCAGCCAGCCCACGAGAATGGCCCTGCTCTGGTTACGGCCCTGTTGGGCTCTGTTTTGCATTATGGGGATTTGTCCTTGTACCACCTTTTATGTGCACTCAGTGGTCTCTGACTACGTGGGGCCTGTTTTCTGGCTCTTCCTGCAACCCCTGCTCTGTGCTTGAGCCACAAGATGCATAAAAGAGAAAAATCTTCTGTTTTAATTTCTCACCCAAAAAGTTTCCTACGCTAATCTGAGCTTCCTGCCCAGTTGAACCACCTGATCCTTTCCTGGGTCTTTAAAAATGTTCTTAATCTGTTTCGTAAGGTGAGCTGCTTGGAATGGCCATAGCAGAAAACACTGGGCTAAAGGAGCTTAATATCAGCTGGAACTACTTCCGTAGCCAAGGAGCAGCTGCCTTAGCCAGAGGCGTTGAGGTAGGAAGCCTGTGTTATCTCCTGTCTTTGCACCCTGTCATACTCATGTTAAACTTCATCTGGTTGGGTAAACACTGCCGTCGTGACCTGAACATAAACCACTATGAAATCTGGAAGTGTATAGGCCTTGAAAGCGGGGAGATATAAAAAAAATTAAATCTTGATTTTTATTTCCATTTGCAGTTTGAAGTTCATTACTTTCTTCCCATTTTATAGTCTTACATTGCTGAAATGAATGTTTTATATAATTTCCAACTGTTAGTAGAATTTCTGATTGTACAGAGTTTCCCCCTCCCCTCTCATTGTGAGGTTTCACACTTAAAATGCTTATTGAAGCTGAAAAAGACCTATCCAGGGCCTTATAGCATCCTTTCTGTGAGACCAGCACAAACTCACACACAGCTTGATAAGCTAACTGCCTGGGCTATATTCGCAATCAGCCCACCTGCTGACATACTGCATTTCCACAAGCCAAGAAAGCTGAAACATTTCAAGGCTGTGCTGCTCCCTCAGAGTATTCCGTTTGAAGCTCCTAAGCAGAGGCGTTGCGAGCGCCCTCCATACCTTCCTACCGGAGGGGGCCCCGCAAGGAAGGGGGCCCCTAAAAGTGGCAAAATAAATAGTGCATTCCAGTTTCTGCATTGTAAGGGGCCCCGCCCGGACATATGTTCGGAGGGGGCCACTGTTCGGAGGGGGCCACGTTCTTTGTTGCTACGGCCCTGCTCCTGAGTCATTTAGGTGCTTTTGAAAACCCCACTCAAGGGGACTTAAATTTGAGTTTAGGAATTTAACTTTAGGCTCCTGGTTTTGAAAATGTAGGGCTGCGTGTACTCAAAAGTTAGTAACTTTATTAATGTGTTGAATAAAATGGAGATATCCTATCCTATCTCCTAGAACTGGAAGGGACCTTGAAAGGTCATGGAGTCCAGCCCCCTGCCTTCACTAGCAGAACCAAGTACGGATTTTGCCCTAGATCCCTAAGTGGCCCCCTTAAGGATTGAACTCACAACCCTGGGTTTAGCAGGCCAATGCTCAAACCACTGAGCTATCCCCTCCCCAAGTCTCAATAATTTTACATTGTTAACATTGAATCATTTTGTTTTGAAGTGAGACAGACTTCACACTACTCAGACACAATTTTAACCCGTTACTGAAAACACTTACACACATGCTTAACATTAAGACCACAAGTGGCCCCAGTGAATGGGTAGAATGTTGATAAAGTTCTATTCTGATCTGGTTTCCAGGATCAGGGCCTTAATTTTCAATATTTTGATTTTTGTCTATAGCAGTTTTATAAAATTCAAGTAAAATCTCCTATTAGAAGTTGCATTTTTTTTAAAAAGCATTCATAATTTAATTCCTTGCAAATTAAAATTAAAATTTATAAATAGCATACATTTTCAAGTTAGTTTTATAAAGCCTGAACCTGACTTAATGATTTTTTTTTAATCAGATGATTGAAATCCATTCCAGATTAAATTAATAGTTCAAGATTAAATTTCAGATTGGAATTTGTTTCTTAAAAAAAAAAAAAGCCACCTTAGAAAATTCCATCCATAAAACTGGTGAGTACATTGGTAGGCCAGGAAATGCCAAACTTGAGGCTGTGTGTGTAACTTTCCTTCTGTCCAGTTGTGCATGTGCTTTATCATGCTGTTTTTATTATCAGATTATTTATCTAATACGGTACATTGTACTACTTTTTTTTCCTACCATTTTATATGATGCATCTTGCAAGATTGATGAGGAAGGGGATCCAACAAGAGAAAAATGAGCTGCAGAGTAGACACAATTGTTCACTTCCTTGTGTGTGTGTGTGGTTTTTTTGTTTGTTTGTTTCATTCTGATGAAGATATTCTGCCCGGCTTTTGTGTGTGTATCTGTAAATATAGGCAGATGTTTACATTGGAAAGCTCCGATTTTGATTTTGTTTTGCTGGAAGAATTTGAGGTGGAGTGACCAATGAGCTTATGACATCACAAGAGATTGAGACCTAAACAGTTGAAAGAGGAAGAGCTTTCTAGTCAGATTGTTTAAAACCTGTGGGGTTTTCTGGTTTTATTTTTGTTAATACCTATTTAACTCAAGCTGCCCACTCAACATCAGTACCCCTTTCCTTTCCGATGAGGGCTGCCATTATCTAGTTCAAGAAGCAGTTGCCCTGCACAGAGAAGATCAGGCTTGATAGTCCTGAAGGAACTGCCCCACACCACCAGAAAAGCATCTTAAAAATCCTTCCCGACTTTGTGATTTTTGGGGCTGATTGCATATTTTTGTGTGTGACTCATGACTTGAACTGTCCGGGTTAGTAGGGTGACCAGATGTCCCGATTTTATAGGGACAGTCCTGATTTTGGGGGCTTTTTCTTATATGGGTACCTATTACTCCCCCACCCCAATTTTTTACACTTGCTATCTGGTCACCCTACAGGTTAGCAATACTGGAGGTATCCAGACTGAGCTCACTGACGCTATCCCATCCCAGACTGTTCACTCAGCACTCTTACCCTTTACTGCTCCTTCCTTCGCTGTCATCCTGCCCCTTTTACAAGGAGTTTGACCAGGTGCTGGGGACTACGCTGAGCATGGTGCCAATGGTGTCCTGCGAACCGTCCAGTAACTCCCTCAACGAAACGTGCTAATTAGCCACTAGCTCCCCCTCGGCCAATAGGTGTCCCCGCTGCACAACTCCCCCACTTGTGAGAGTCTTTCTGGGCCCAGCTACTGGGCTCTAGCAGGCGCTAATCCTTTGTGCTGTTCTCCGTGAGACTCACAACCTACTTGCATGTGATATTCAGATCAAACCGCAGCTGTGGTTAAGTCAAGAAGCTGCCAGACCTGTGAGCTACAGGTGGGATCTTCCAAGGGAGAGGAGAGGGGTTGAAGGAAGAGGGAAGCCTGGCACTTTAGGAGGGTCATGTAGGGAGAAGGAATTTTTCTGAGGTTCACCCACCACTAGTTGTTGGTATGAAATGTCCTTTGCTCATTCTCTTCCTCTCGCTCACTTTCCCTCTGCGTTTATTTTTAACTGTGTTTTGGAAGCATGGGTCATGGAAGGTCATTCTGCCAGGGCGATGCAGATAGCTGTTTCTGTCCCAAGCTACGGTGAGTTTTTTTTACAGTAATTCTGGCTTGTTCCATAGGCAAATGTATTCCTCAGAGTTCTGGACCTTTCCTACAATGGCTTCAGTAACAACGGCGCAGCTGCCCTGGGGGAGGCCCTTAAAGTCAACAATGTGCTGGAAGAGCTCAACATTAGGTGAGTCAGGCTCCGGTCATGATGTAATACGTCCCACACTTCAAAGTGAGAGCACCCCCTGGTGCTGAAACCCTGAGCAGCCATTGATCTCAGTTTTAGGTGTGAAGAGGGACGGTCTTGCTGGCGCTAAGATGACAAAAGGAATGCCATGTAATGGGAGTTTGGCCATGAAATTTCTAGCTGGGTAAGATCTGTTGGCATCTGTTGTTTACTGCCCTGCCCTCAGTCATGGCTGCCAGGTCCCCAGCTCTGTAGTCAGCCTGGTGGCCCCAGAAAAAGCAATGGTGTAAAGGAGTGAGGAGGATTACTGGGGTCAAGGTGACATCGTTACAATCTTAAATTGGGAAGGAAATAAATTGATTCCATCTGGCTGGGGAGGATGGATGGAAAGAAAATCTAGTGATAAGGATCCAGGGTTACTAGCATCTCTGGAAATGAGAAGAAAAGTGAAATGGGACTTCGGAGCTTAGAGGGCACCTTGTGCAGCATGAGAGAGAAATCTCATGTTTGTGCTCACAATGAGAGCTGGACAAGTTCCTTTGTTCTTCAAAGCACTGGCCTATGTACTTGGAGGCCTGGGACTGGCCTATATACTAAGGATAGTTAGGTGTGAGAAGTACTGTCGATTTGATCAGGCGTACAGTGGACATGTTATGCTAGGAACCGATTCAAAGAGGAGGCTGATTGGTTCAGCAAAGGGAGAGTCAAGAAAACAACAGAGGCTGGTGAAGTTAGTGGGAGAGCCACGAGACCGGGTAATTTTCAGAGAGCTGCAGTTATGGAGACCATGAACATAACCAGAAATGGTCATGAGACAGGCGGTGAGCAAGGGGGTAGTGCCAAGTACTCCCTGCAGTGTAAAATCCCACAGGCGAGCTGGCAATGACCCTCCCATCCCAGTGCATTAGGTGCCAGTGGGACCTAAGCTCCGAAAGAGCAGGCAGTGGCTGCTGCTATGGTAGGGGCTACCTGGATATACTTACAAAACTAACATTTCAGGGAACAAACACTGAGGTTTTAATTGTCACACTAACAATAAAAGCAAATGCTCCGAAATAGACGTGAACTAAGCAGGGCCAGTCCGAGTCAGTATTTGGATGGGAGACCTTCAGGGAAAACTTGTGCACTTCAGGAAGTGGTGTAGCTGCGGAATGGTGTGCTGCTGGAGCTTGTTCTTCAGATGAGATTTAAAACCGAGGCCGTGAGCATTCAGGGTCACTAAAGATCTCACCGCACTTTCCGTGAGAGTAGGTACATTAACACAGGTGTCCCAGACAGATACATCTCCTCCCTGCAACTTCAACTGGAGATGGGATTCTTTGTCACTTCCTCTCCTTCAAATTGTGTGTAGAGAGCTGTTAACCTGCTGCTATTAATGCCCCTCCAGATGTGTCCACATGTCAGTGGTGGGAGAAGTGGTTCCCTGTACCTTTACATGAGTTTGTAAAGCATGTTGTCCTCCTGTTGCCCATACTGTAGTAAGTGTCTCCATGACAGTGTGGCCCTGGCTGGGGGGGGACACGGAATGAAAAATGTAAGAAGTCTACCTTTTCTCTGTTGTTCTAAGCAATAACCGCATTTCACTGGAAGGAGCTCTGCGCTTTGCAGTAGGCCTGAAAGAAAACCGGACTCTGAAGAGCCTTAATGTGAGTAGCTTTTTTAAGCAGACATTGGAAAACACAATAAAGTATATATTTAAACTGTCACTGGCATGAGTGCTCATTGAATCAGATTCTGCATGAGCCATTCTGCAGCAACAGCAGGGGAGCTTTAGCATCAGTCTCCGGCCGCGCCTGTGAAATGCGACGTGCAGATGGTCTCATGTAGACAAGGAGTGCTTGTATTCAACAGTCTTTTGAATTCAAGTATTTTATACCCCTCCCCCTACATGAACCAGAGCCTGCAGCCTGCTGCTCCCTGTTCTGCCCTGCTGTCTAGCACCTTGCCTTCCAATATGGAGGGTGATCTTCCTGGCCTCTGCTGTCAACTCCTTACATGGCAGCCACGTTTGCTGCACATATCTGGGAGCTAGGGGGAGACGTGGTTAATGGCCATTGGGTGTCTGACCTGTCCCTCAGCTCAGCACAGTGGGGAAGACACTCTGCTCTGTTCTTCTTCCTTTCCATTCCCCAGACAGCCCAAAGGGAGCTCCTGACGCTCAGGTGAAGAAGGTCATGGAGTGGTGGAGAGTGGGTATGACCAGGTGTACTGCATTTTAGATATTCCCAGCTGGTGTGTTGCCCTTTGGGGACCACTGGCAGCTATCCTATGGTAGAGTGGCCTCCAGGGTCAAGCAGAGAATTACGGCTCCATAACCCGCACCCCTGACAGCTTACCCCTTTTTCCACATTGCTGCATCCAGCTTCCGCTGGGCAAAGAATCTTGTGCTGGTGTAAAACACACAGTCGAGGTCAGTTACACATCCTTGAACCTAAGATACACATAGGTAAAGTCAGCCAGTGATGGTGTGTAAAGGGAGAAAAGGAAGAAAGGCAAGGCTGAAGCCTTGTGGGAACCCCCGTTGAAAGATGGGATGGGGAGGAGAAGAACCAGGAGAGAGTGGAGTTGTGGATGCTGAGGGAGGACAAGATGACCATAATAAGGTTATGTGGTTGCTTTAGTGAGGCCTAGGCACATCCTGATGATCCCCCAAAGCTACTTTTTTTTAATAAGTTTGGTTCTTGTAGACATGAGATTTTCAAATAGTCATCACCATCCATTCTTATCACTGTGAGTTCCTGCTTTTGTTCCATGCCCATGGCATGTGCCTGAAGACACTTGAAAGGGACAATTTTGCTCTGTAAGACAGCTGCAGTTTGAGGTGTGAGTTCCAGATATCAAAGAAAGGCGCATTAATGAAAAGAACATGCAAACTGTATTGTTCCTATTGTTGTTTCCTGTGTCTGCCTTTAGATGGCCAGAAATCCCATGCAGAGTGAAGGCTGCTTTGGGATTCTCAAATCTATACAAGGAAATTCCGGGGCCGTGGTAGAAATCCTGGACTTCTCAGTAAGTGTTAAACAGCGGGGGGCAGGGGCAAGTTTTATCCTTCCAAAGGAGACTGGTCTGAACTGTAATAACACAGTGCTATCCACGTAAATTACTGCAGCGCTATCATTGCAGGCCACTGTGAGTTAAAGGACCATATCTGGGTGGGCCCCCAACTTGAAACCATGAGCACCTAAATACATGTCCAAACATCACCCTTGGATGTTCACAGTGGCACGTAGGTGCATAAATGCCTGATTCATGTGCCTACATGCCAATTTTGAGTGTCCAGCTCTAGGATATGGATGTCCAGTTAAGGTGCATAGGCATTGCCCTTTACACACTATACTTGGCCTTGTTCTACTAAAACAGCAGAAACTGGAGGGAATTTGAGCTACTGCACATCCTGAAACCTCTGGAAAAATCTGTCGCACCTGGTCTGTGAAGAACCAAATAGTTTTATAAAGATTTGTGTCCCATTTTCATTAAAACGAAGTGGCCCTCAGCTCATAATCCTGGAGGATGTTGAGGCTCAAAGAACTTAAACTGAGAATACATTCTCCCACTGGTGAAAAGTGCCAAACTGACAGCTCTGAGGAAGGCAGGCCTTTGCCCACGGATATGGCATGGGCAGGGTTGGTGCAAGCTTCCTCACAGTACCCTGTCCATGTGCCTCACCCCTGTAACTAGGTGAGATGGGACTTCAGTCTGTGGTCCATTCCATCCAGAGCCTCTCTCCTAAGCTTTGGCAGCTGGTCCATGCCTGTTTTGACCATTCAGTACCACCTTCTAGTCACAAGTGACCTGGGATGCATTCATACAGTGACCTAAGGCTAAAAGAGTCCATTGGCACTGTGGGTTACCAGAGCTGCTGGATGTCTTCCGAGACCATCTGCAAGGCGGGGTGTTGATCTGAATGTGCTGTCTAGACTGGGAGTGTGCACAGTCTGTTCCATGTGTGAATTTAATAATGATTTGATATTGTCAGATAGCAGACTCAAATGGAATTATTTAATCAAAGATTAATACAGAAGGAAGACCTACTTTATCTACAGGGGATGGTGGTGAAGTGAAGGCAGTTTGGTCCCTTCCTCTATACCTGGTGGAATGCTGACAGTGTTCATTCCCAAACTAACTTTCCAACCCTCTTTCCTTTTATTGGGTGTGAGACGAAACTCCTTTTTGGGAGGGAAAAGTACTTTCCCACAATTAATTTTACTATATGTTCTGTTTTCCTAATTGCTGATGGAATTTCTTTTATGATCCTCAATTTACCTGATTGAAGAGTAAAAAGGAATCTCTTATCCAATCATTATTACTAACAGCTGTGACACCAACAGTTCTTAATGAGTTAAAAACATCTTTCAATGCATCATTATTTTGTCCATTACAGAATCCACTCGGTTTTGTTTCTCATATACTTTTGTAGACAGTGTTCATTAGGTTGAGGGGTCTCTTCCCTGGATACCTGGACTATATTAGTAAAGTCCGGGTAAAAAGTGGGGTTAAAAGATTACATGCACTCTGTTATTGAGTTCATTTTCCTTTCACTCGTTAGGTTCAATTGAAGGGCAAAGAACTTTTTATTTTCAATTATATATAGGGCAATAAATACATAGATACATAAAATAAAGACTTTTAGTATATAAAAATTACAATTTAACATACAAAAATAAAAAGTTAATATTTACTAACAAGTCAGACACAGATTTGAAACAGACACTGTGGCACTTTTCTATTTTTCTCTATTTTTGCCTGTAAAAATACAGGGAAATGAAATCCCAAAGGTATGTGTTACTGAAAAAGGAGGATGGATTATGAAGGCCCCAGAGTCAGAACCTTCCGAATGATTGTTTCTGCAAATAGCATAGTTCCACCGCATTGCATCTATGCAACATGGCATAATAGCACATTGAACAAAGACCAAATATTTGTAGTTAGACCTATTGTGACTGAGCTGCAGATACTGTGGTACCCATAACTTAGCTGTCTGACTTGTGTAGTTACATCATAAACCACCATCTGCTTTTAACAGAGGGTCTCCTTCTATTTAATGTTTAAGTTTTGCCACAAAGTGATAGACCCCTTCACCTGGTGAATGCTGTCGCGGATATTGTAAAACTGCCTTTTTTCAAATGTTTTTGTTGATGGCGTATTTTTAATTTATAAAGGAAAAACACAAGTTATAATGCTCTCTTAATTATTAATAATAGAGCAACAGTTGCTCCCTGTTATTTAGTCACCTGTTGCATTCTCACTGGCTGAGAACAGACTAAATGTATTCTTCAGCCAAAGAGAGACGTGACTATCCTGCCTGTCCCAGTACCCCCTTTCAAATGCTATTCCTCATGTTCTTACAAACCCTTCTTCTGTTCCAGCACTTTCCTGACTCCCTCCTCAGGCTTTGTGTGAACTCTGCGGACAGGCTGCATATTGCATTTTCTACCTCACCCTTATGCCATGTTTTATGCATTTCAGCCACTTTGTGCTCTGATCATTCTAGAGACACGGCCCTCAACAGAGTTGTGAGTTGCTTGCTTGGAATCTCATGTCCTCCCTTTTTGACTTGTCAGCTGCTCTTGACCCTTTTCCTCGTCTTCTTTGGGTTTCCAGTTCTTCTCCTGACAGTTGGAGCTAGTTTGTTTCATGTTTTATTTTATATCCACCAGAGCTGTGGTATTGCCACTTGCTGGTGAACTGGTCGATGGCTCAGGTTATTGAGCTGAAGGAACTTTGTCAGAGCTTGCATTAGTTGCATGGATGCCTGAGAGCAAGAATGTGTTGTGATGCATTGCGTACCTTTGCTGTTGTGATACTTACCTTTTGAGAGAAGGTAAATCGTACTGTACACTGATCTGTGATACTTTCTCCCTCTAGGAGATCCCTGTGAACAAAGACTTTGCAGACCTGTGTGATGCTGTGAAAATGCTTTTCCCGAATCTTCAGATCAGACATGGTGGAAATGCAACACTGCACAAAAAAGACCAACCAAAGGTTGAGATCCAATCTTGGTTCAGTGTGGAGGGTGATTCATAGAATCCCTTGGCCTAAAAGGAACCTATTCAAGGTCACTTTGGGTATGTCTACACAGCCTGCGGAAGAGAGACTCCCAGCCAGGGTAGACAGAGTTGGGTTTGCAGGGCTCGCGCTAGTGCTCTAAAAATAGCTGCGTAAACAGCACTTTGACGTTGCGACTTGGCTGGGAGCTCCGGCTCTGAAGCCCTACCTACCTCCTGCCTGAGCCGCAACATCAAAGTGCTGTCTGCGCCGCTATTTTTAGAGCACTAGGTGGAGCCCCACAAACCCAAGTCTGTCTACCCAGGCTGGGAGTCTCTTCCCCTGGCTGCCTGTGTAGACATACTCTTAGTCTCCACCCCTGCACTGTGGCAAACTCCTAATATCACTGACCATCTCCAAGGATTTCTAGCAGCAGTGCTACAAGTGCCTCCCATGGAAACATTTGCCATTCACTCAGTGATGTCATTGTTAAAAGCTGCTCCTTGCTGTAGCTTTACATTAATTGGACTAGATTCGCTGCTGTGACCTGGTGCTGGATCTCACCAGCAGGGCGTTCTCCTGGTGCAGGACAGTCCCCAGTGGGTACAGAGCCAGCATAATTAGCTCCTTACACTACCTTTCTCCTTCAGCCTTCTGCACAGGGCCTTTGTCAGGGCAGGGAGGGGGCTTGACTGGAATACTCTGTGCCCAGCTACACCTTCTGCTTGGGGCCACAGCCTGCTGCCATAGACTAGGGCAGCCTGAAGACTGCATTAATCTATGCTGGGGCCTTGACTACCATAGAGCCAGACCCCAATTCAGGGAGGCACAGTCAACTACTTTTCATAGATTGTAAAGCCAATAGGAACCATTGTGATAATCTAGTCTGACCTCCTGCATAACCCAGGCCCTAGTATTTCACTCCGTGATTCTTGCATTCAGCTCATATCTTCTGCTTGAGCAAGAGCAGATCTTCTAGAGTACGTCCAGACTACCCGCCGGATCGGCGGGTAGCGATCGATCTATCGGGGATCGATGTATCGAGTCTTGTCTAGACGCAATATATCGATCCCCAAATGCGCTCCCGTCGACTCCGGAACTCCACCAGGGTGAGAAGCGGAAGCGGAGTCGACGGGGGAGCTGTGGCCATCGATCCCGCACCGTGAGGACGGGAGGTAAGTCGAAATAAGATATGTCGACTTCAGCTACGCTATTCCCGTAGCTGAAGTTGCGTATCTTACATCGACACCCCCCGTAGTGTAGACCAGCCCTTAGAAAGAGCCTCCAATCTTAAGGCTTTGAGAATCCACCACACCCTAGGTAAGTTGTCCCAGTAGCTAATAGCCCTCACACCTTATTTGGAGAAAAAGACTGGTGTAATGTATGGAATAGGACAGTATCCCTTTAAATAGTTTGTGGGCCCTCTAGTGTACTCAGTGTTCTGTGTTTTGGTTTCCGGCAGCTTCTAACCAGAGAAGCAGTATAGGTAGCTAGACCTGGAATGTTTGTGTATATTCAGTAAACATGGTTATTTGGGACTCAACTGTGTTTGTGCAGATTCTTCATATTTTATTTGTTCTGTAAAGAACAAAAGACCCAACCGATAGCATAGTGAGCAGGGCACTAGACTGGGACTCAGGAGACCCGGCTTCAGTTTCCAGATGAGGAAGAGATTTCTTGTGTGATGTTGAGGAAATCACTTAGGCCTTGTCTACATGAGAAAGTTCCACCAATTTAACTTAAACTGGTTTTTAAACCAAATTAACTACATTGGTCCAAACCCCTGTGTGGACACACTTGTTTTGGTTTAGGTTTTGCTTAGGTTAAACCTGTCCCTAATTGATTTAAGATGAACCAAAATAAATGTGATTTATACCAAAATAAGTGTCCACAAAACCTTTTTGCACCAGCTTAACTAACCTGGTTACACTTGCTTATGGCAAGAGTTTAACTTTCCCATGTAAACCAGTCCTTACTCTACACTGTGCCTCGGTTCCCCATCTCTGAAAAAGGGATGGGATACCCTCACAGGAGGGTAGGGGCTTCTGAAGATGAACTTCATTAATGAGTGTGAGGTGCTCAGACGCTGTCAGAGGGGGGGATATATAAATACCTAGGTAAGTAGATTATTTCCAGTCTGGATTTACCCAGCTTCAGATCCCAGCCTTTGGATCTCATTCTTCCTTTTTCTCTGAGATAAAAGAGCTATCAGAAATCTTCTCCCTCTGTAGGTCCTTGTAGGCTGTGATCATCACCTCTTAACCTTTCTTTGAATAAACTAAATAGAGCTTATTTAGTCTCTCGCTATAAGGTAGGTTTTCCAAATCTCAGATCAGTCTTGCAACTCTTTTCTGAGCTCTCCCAAATTTATCAACATCATTTTTAAAGTGTGGACACCAGAACTGGATACAGTATCCAGTAGTAGTCTCACCAGTAACCTCCTTTCTCCTATTCAATATTCTCCAGTTTATACATCCAAGGAGTGCCTTCACTCTTAGCCACCACATCACACTGGGAGCTCGTGTTCAGTTGGTTTCTGCCATGATTCTTTAATTTTTTTTTTTTTTTTAAATTTCTATGATTCTATGAGATTTTGTTTACTATCACTTTTCAGCAAATAATGATATTTTTAAATAAGCGATATAACTGCTTGATAAAATTATGTGTAGCTAAATGAGATTTGTCCTGTAATTGTGAGAATGGTTTCAGATTTTTATATCTAATAAATATTTTCATTTAAACTCACTTTTGTCTATCTGGTCTATTTCTATTCCATCAAATGAGTGTGAATTAGGAATAGGGTTGCCAGGTGTCTGGTGTTCAATCGGCATGCCCAGTCAAAAAGGGACCCTGGCAGCTCCGGTCAGCACTGCTGACCGGGCCGTTAAAAGTCTGGTTGGCGGCGCAGCGGGGCTAAGGCAGGCTCCCTGCCTGCCCTGGCTCCTGACAGCTCCCGGAAGCAGCCGGCATGTCCCTGTGGCCCCTAGGCGCAGGGGCGATCAAGGAAGCTCCACATGCTGCCCCCAGTGCCGGCTCCACAGCTCCTATTCGCCGGGAGCAACACAGAGCCAGGGCAGGCGGGAAGCCTGCCTTAGCCCTGCTGTGCCACCAACCAGGAGCCGCCTGAGGTAAGCGCTGCCTGGCTGGAGCCCACACCCTGAACCCGCTCCTGCACCCCAGCCCTGAGCCCCCTCCTGGAGCCCGTGCCCCCTCCTGCACCCCAACCCCCTACCCCAGCCTGGACCCCCTCCCACACTCCAAACCCCTCATCCCCAGCCCCATCCCAGAGCCCGCACCCCCAGCTGGAGCCCTCACCTCCTCCCACACCCCAACTCCCTGCCCCAGCCTGGAACCCTCTCCCGCACCCTGAACCCCTCATTTCTGGCCCCATCCTGGAGCCCGCACCCCCAGCTGGAGCCCGCACCCCCTCTCGCCCCTCAACCCCCTGCCCCAGCCCAGTGAGGGTGGGGGAGACTGAGCGACTGAAGGAGGGGGTCTGGAGTGAGTGGGGGTGGGGCCTCAGAAGGGGTGGGGCAAGTCCTCAGGTAAGGGGCGGGGCAAGGATATTAAGTTTTGTGCAATTAGAAAGTTGGCAACCCTAGTTAGGAATGATGTACATATTGGTTAAATTTGATATCTTTGAAGACATCTTGTTTCCTGACCTCTTTAATATATGAAAATTCCATGGGTTGATCTCCAGACTCTGAGGCCATGGGAAATAGATCTAAATCTGTAGTAAAAACTGTATTTTAAATCACCTATTTATTCATTTTTCTGTTTCTGCAGCCCAGCATCTCCCACAATTCTTTATAAACCTTATAAACTAGATAAGGATTTGAATCAAGTGGTGTCTCTCCCTGTTAATAGTACAAACAATCTGTTGTGTATTTGGTTGTTGTGGTAATAGAATCTTGTGTTGCTATGGCAACTGAGTTAGATTATTAGGGGATAGCCCAGCCAGTTTTGGCTGGCGGTTGGTTAGTTCTGAGTGTAGCAGTAAATGGCTGCTCCAAGGTTTACAGCTCTCTGTGTCTCCAGTGATTTCTTCCTAAAACTGTTGCCCCCAAGGATATAACACAATCCACCCAGCTTTCATACACAGGCAGGCTTCCTTCTTTCCCACCTGGGACCTCCTTTTCCCTGTTCAGTCTTTGTTCCTGAGGTGTCGTGGTGTTGGGGGAGTGAGGCCAAGTGATGCTGTCATTCCCCCCTTTTATAGTTTCTTACATGTGGAGGGAACTTTTGTTTCAAGCCAAGCCCCCAGCACAGTTTGTGGAAAAGTACAAGCAACAAGATGGAGTCCAGTAGCACATGATCTAGTCACATGCGCTTGCATGCTTTGCTGAGTCCTAGCAGCCATTACTCATACCCTGACTGAAGTGTCCACAGGAAAGATCTCCATGGCCCGTTGTTTTTGTTGATGGGCCATTAGCACTGTCTAGCATCTTTATTGTTGTACCCGAAAGACTAGTTGTGGGTGTTTCCAACTTCACAACATCTTTCAGAAACACACACATAGCAAAACTTCATATACAATGACAGCACATACAATCTAACAGGATATTAATGTTCAGCATACCAAGACTTTTGAAATGATACCTCACAAGGCATACTTTGTACAAAACATATAATTTATGACAATGGTGAATACAGGGGTGCCAGGGTGTTGCTTTGGGACACACCCTGTCACAAAGGTATTTGCTGTCCCCACAACAAAACCTTAACTTTGCCCCCTGGAGCTGGCAATAGTACGGGAAGCAGCGTAGCGCTAAGAGTACATGTTGTTTGTGTTCCAGCATTTAAGTACATGCACTCCAGCTGTGGTCACTGTTTTGGGTATCGCTGTATTCAGTGGTGGAGGGATTAGTTGGAGCAGGTTGTTAGAGTTGTTGCTGTGATACAAGGAAAGGTGTTTATGTACAGTAACTCCTCACTTAACGTTGTAGTTATGTTCCTGAAAAATGCGACTTTAAGCGAAACGGTGTTAAGTGAATCCA